TTCGAGTCGAGTGTTGACCGAGTTTTGACCGAGTCGATTTCGAGTAGCTCGCGAGTTTTCTCGTCTCATTTACACCCCTAGTCTAGCGGGTGGTGTGATTTCGGTTCACAGGTGTTGTTCATGTAGGTTAAGGGAGAGTTTGGATTTTGTTTTTACTAATAGCATTTTGTTTAATAAACTATGAAAAAACTAAAAATGATAAAAGACCAAATTACCCTCATCTTAATGGATATTTTTAACGTCGTTAGACTCCATGATGAAAAAGAGAAACAAAATGGAAACCATAGGGATGAAAAAAGCAGTTTTTAGAGACTAGAGACAAAAATCAATATAAATGACAAACCACAAGGACTAAAATCGTAGTTTACTCTTTAAATATATATACGGTTATAGGGGTGTTCAAAAACCCAATTAACCCGTTCAACCCGATCAACCCAACCTAACCCAAGGCGAAATAACTCAACCCGAAGCAACCCGATGTCTAATCGAGTTGTAAAATTTTCAAACCGTAGGTATTGGGTTGATATGGGTTACTATTGTTTGAACCCAACCCAACCCGATGAACCCGATATCCTTTTATTTCTTGGATTTATTATGATTGTTGAACTTCTATTAGTATATACATTAGACAATTACACTATCACTTATGCTCTTATATACACATATTTTCAATCTATTCACATCTTTATATAACTCAATCGTATATATGTTCAGTAACCGTGAACATATATATGTAAATTGAGAAAACTAACTGAATGTGATATACGTAAACACTATGGATAAGTTGTATCAAATGGTTGATGATGAAAAAAGATTATGAGTAGAGAAATAACATATTCAAGATTAAAAAAATATTTTAATGTACCAAAATATCAACCCGACCAACACGTACGATTTGGGTTGGGTTAGGTTGCATTTTTGTATGGATTGAGTTGGGTTAAGATTTTTCAAACCGTAAGCATTGGGTTGGGTTGTTCAAACGTCTTCAACCCGATCAACCCAACCCATGGACACTCCTATCCGACTGGTTTTATTTAGATGGATTTAGACCCATTATTCTTAAGATATCCCAACTGAATACGACGGATGTGTCTTCTTTGCAATGTGATATATATTATTCATTTTTATTTTCAATATATATAATTATTTTCAAACAAAAAAATTGTATTTCGAAATATATAATTACTGAATCGGCAAAATGGATGACCAATCCAATAACATTTTATTAAAAAATGTAGGATCGAATAAAACATAAAATACAACCACTAAATAAATAAATAAATATATATATATATATATATATATATATATATTCTATACAATTATCAGAAATTGTCTACCTTTTGTACGGCAAACATTGACCTGTTTATTTCTCCAATCAAATGTGTTTATTCAATAAAATATGAATTATCGGATAATTTTTATTTATTTAGATGTCGTTTATCAAACATTTGATTTGATAAGCGTTTATCGGTTTAATTATGTTACCGGGTGACATAGTAATATTTAAAATCCTATCTAGTAACTCAGTAAAAAAGAAAGGTAAGGATCAAAAGTCTTACCCGATAAATAAGGGTGATTACTTTTACCCAACAAAAACTTATCCGAACAAATATTTATTGAAAAAGGTTAAATTGTTTAATTAGCAATATGATTTTTTTTAAATATATTGATTTATTCATAAAAAATTTAAAATGGATTAATTTAGTTATTTTTATAATTTATTTTTAAAAAATATTTATAATGAATGAAGTTTAGTTCCAATTCAAATCCTACAAACCAAACATATAAAAGATTTTGGATCCAAATCCCTCAAATTTCAAATAATTCCATGAAATTCAAATCCCTCGAAACCATTTATTGTGAAGACGAAAAACAATTCCAGAAAAAATGATTTAACTTAGAGAAAAGTCTCAGCCGAATGTTTTAAAATGTCATGGATTCGTTCCCTAAGGTAACGTTTGGTACGCAGACTAGACAAGACAGGACGGAACGGGACAGAACGGGACGAGACAAGACTAATTGTTTGTCCTATGTTTGGTACGACTAGAACAGAACAGGACAAAACTGTTAAAATGACCATATTACCCCTAAATGTTATTCAATGTTATTTTAAATCCTTGTTACATTGGGCTACCCATAATAATCATCCAAATAACGAACAAAAGCTAAAAGTACAAACAGGCTTCAACATGCCGATTTTTTTTATTTATCAAAAGTTAAATAAGAAATTATTGAGAAGTTAAATCAGAATTAAGCAATTTAAGTCACAAAGTTAAAATCATTCACAATTTCAAGAAGATTGAATTGGCATTTTGGCAGCGTCATTGACTAACAAGAATAACTGATGATTCAACCAAAAAAACTTCAGAAAATACAAAAAGAAAAGTCAAAAATAAAAGGATAACATAGTCATTTTATATTTAGACCCATGTTGTTCCACCTTTTTTGGTGGAACAAAAATTATCAAGTTTTGTCCCATGAAATTTAAAAATAGTCCCATCTTGTCCTATGCATTTTTTGTCAATGACATGCCAAACATGAAACTATTTCTTTTTTGTTCCGTCCCGTCCCATGTCGTCTGCATACCAAATACAGCCTTAAGGCTTTCCCAAGATCTTATGGTAGACCGATTTCACTTTCTGATATGGTAACTGGCCAGTTGCATGGCTGGCCCAATTGGTTAAGCCAGGCCCGATTTCCGTTACTTAGTACCCTATGTGTATCCCTAGCTCTAGGCATCAACTATTAAGTATTAACCAATCCTTTAGCTCAATATAAAGATTAACCACGATCGTAGTTGCATTTCAAGACTTGGTAACTTTATCTCTATCAAATACGTCATACCTACTTCAATCAATCAATTTTTTGAAAAATATATAATATCTATACTATATTATAAATCATTTGAAAACTCTTAAAAATCATTTTTTATGCATAAAATACTGTTTATTAATGCATATTACTTAAAACTCAAGATTACAAGTAGATTATGCGTAAGTACAACTTATTAAAGCTCCATATATGAATTTGTGTAACTAACTGCAGATAAACATAATCAAATACAAGATAAACATCTTATTTTGAATATAAAAAATCTAAAATATAATTAGGATAATCATTGAGTTCTAACAGAATACTTAATTATTATCTTTATAAAATGTTATATTATTAAACCAAAAATAAATTATTTTATTGTTAAACTTAAATTAAATTATAATTAAGAAAATAAATTAAAGAAATCATATAAAAATGAGAACTTTTAAATAGTTGATTTGATATTAACATTGATATATATATTTTTTTTCAAATTTTTATTTTATTTTAAAAAAATCATTATTGATTTCTTAAAAACACATAAAATCATATTGTAACATCGACATAGACAAAAAAAAAATAGAAGATTAAAATAGAGATGTATCTCGCTACATTACGCGATTACCTTTATAATTTATATAGAAAGACAAATATATTCACACAACCTCTAAACATTCATTAAGTTTTGAAGTTAAGACCTTTTGTGATTGAGAGACATGACAATACCAATATCTTGCCTACATATATACTAAAAACCCTTTGGTCTGTTATGTATGTTATGTGCATCCAACTTACATAATAGAACACCAATGCCTAAGAGGTATTAGAATCCACCATTCACTCACTCACTCACTCACTCACAAGCAATGAATAACGGATTTGTCTAAGGGATCGTTTACAAAACGCTTACCGGCGTTCCTTATCTTATCGAGTGAGCATGATAAGAACCAAGAATCCTGCACACTGAGAGGTATAGAAGAATTGAGAATCTTACCCGGTAAGTAAGGGAAAAAACTTTTACCCGGTAAGCATTACCAGGTAAAAAACAATTACCAACCATTTATTTTAATAGCCAAGAATGTTAGCCAATAAGGTAAGTAAGAGTGGTGACTCTTGCCAGTAAATGGTAAATGCTTACCCAATAAACGATTGGTAAACGACACTAAAAGAACATGACAAAAAGTGTACATATTTCGTAGCATGATATACAATTGTATTAAGCATACATAGCCTGGAAGAAGAAAGAGCTGGGTTGGCACTGGCAGCAATGATTCTTAACGTGGTGAGGCTATGGGTCCATGTTGGTGGTTCGGGCATAATCGGGTTGAACCTGATTGGTTTATTAAAACATGAAACCCGTTGGTGAAAACAAACAAAATATCCATACAACAAGCTACTTTGAAAGTTTCTCCCTAACTCGTAGTTATAGCCCTAAGAATCTTGCTTAATTACCTCTTTGGATTTATCTCTGCAGTTGCATAAACAGGTTGCCAAATTCATGTCTAATTTGAATGCTTTGTGATTCGCAGATGGTAAGTCAGTTTTTTTCCTTCCATTTTTGTGTGTATTCGAGTAAATTTTCAGTCGTTTCCTTTTTATCTAGAGAAATCTGAGGCAGACGGAACTCTAGTAGCACGTTAATGGCGGTTTTCACTTTAATGCGGTTCTTCTGCTAAGGTACACCTCGCTAATGGCCTCGTTGCTTTTGCATAACCATCCATTAGTTGATTTGCATGAGTATTAATGGCTACAAATGAAGCCATATTTGGAATCACAACTCGATATCATTTATTTGGTTTTAGAGGATAAAAAGGGGCTAAGAGCACCATTTCTCCTGCAAAAACAAACAACAGATACTATTTGACTTGCGATTTCCATTGGACGAATTTTCAAGCTCAAACTGATATAAATTTCATGGCATTTGACTTCGATTCTACCTTATTACAATCATTATACATAGATTAGTGCCGATTCTATGTTTGTAACGGGGTTCAGGTCAAATTTTCATTTCAATAGAATACGATATATAATGCATCTCTGAGATTTTCTGAACCACAACCACAGGAGACGGAGTATTGGTGAGGTATAACTATATTCATTAATTTATATATCATGCGAACTTTTGACAGTATTTATCAGTTTTTAGGGAAGTCAATAGATCATGGAAGCAGCAGCCCAGGAGAGGAGTCAGGTCATAATGTTACATTTCACATTGCATTAGCATAGAAGTTCTAGTCTTCTAGAGTTAATGTTTCAAGATATGTTATATTTCTACATAGATCTAGATATCAATTAATGTTTTACATATCAAAATCAGCTTCTCCAAATCTTTGGACAAAAAGATTTCAGGAATTGACAACCAGTTTCGCAAAAAGTAATCTTACTAGCTGCTATTGATCCAATCTTAGAAACAGCATATAAGATTATAGGAACGAATAGCAATAATCATCACCGCAAGTCCGCTATAATAATCATATAAACGAGCTAAAACATGAACTCCAAGATAGTCACACTATGTGTCTGCATAACACACTCCTTTACCATCGATTTTGAGTTATACCGTTCAGGAGAGTGGTGCCCTCTGTGGAATCCCTTTCCGCAATCTCTTTCTCTTGGAAGTTATTAATGCAGGGTCTCTTTCACCTTCATTAATGCTTACATTATTATCAACTGTAGCCAGTTCTGGGGACATTGCAGAAACCTGTTAAATTCGAACAAATAGATGAACAAAAGTACTAACAAAAATTGAAGAACTTAGGTAGTCATTTAAGATTTTCTGCAATCCAGGCTCTGATCACTGTGTTAAATAAGATGTGGCAATTCATTCAAGGCAACCCCATTTGATTTCTTTTCAAACAGCTAGATTCAAGATCCACCACCAACTCCATTTGAATCCTGATCTTAAATCCTTGATGCTGTCATGACCAACAGCAATCATAGAATAGAACAAGTAGCAGGATTTAGCATACTCTTATGGAAAAGAGAGATTACCTTGCATTGGATGCTGCAATAAGAGGAATCTGTTAAACTTAATTTGCAAACAATACATCTATGATCCCTCGAGTTTTGCTGTTCTGCTAGTCGTTGCTGCTGTGGCTTCCTTTTCTTCAAGAATAGCACTTTGTTGCTGTTTGATATGTAACCCTGCAAATGTGTATCGAAACTCAGGTGTGACCCATCCCGATTCCCAGTTGTCCCTCAGATACTGATTTATGTTTCTAATGCTTGATCATATTCATTTGCATATCAATAATAAAGTTGTCAAGTTACTAACCTGAATGCCTGAACAATCAAAGTGTTTCTGAAAATCTGGTCGACTGATGACCTCACAATACACGTACCTACGAATCTTCATCATCGATCAAGCATTAGCATTAGCATTAGCATTAGCATTAGCATTAGCATTAGCATTATCATTAGCATCAGCATCAGCATAGCATGTTATGCTATGTAATAATCTACAAGAATCACTAGACATTACCCATCATAAAACATTTTAGACAAATGTAGCACACTAGACTACATGGGTACGACTCAAGTTGACTAAATGTCTCCTTAGTCCTTCGTCCCACTTGACTCGCACCTCCTTTATAAGTCATGACTTCACCTAAATCCGGCAATCGTTGAGTTGGGTTCAACTCAATTTCAGAGCTTGGCTCGTCAAATGTCGAGATTGTATGGACTCGACAAATATACACATCGATACGTGTGTTCCTCGGCTTGATTTATGATTCATGTAAGCCATTCATCCATGAAGAATTTTGAAGTATATATGTAGAACATTTATATACATCAAAACTTACATACAGGCTTGAACCACTGAACTCAAGGAACCCAAATACCGCTACACAAATGACCCTTTAGTTAAGTATTTGGCTATCAGATAAAACAGTTTCCCACATCTAACGCATTTAATCCCACATTTAGGATGAAAATGGTTTTGTTTCTTCTTTTGTATTTCCTAATGATCAATGATTATAATGTTTTTGGAGCACTTAAATCCTACATTCATTAAACATCAAGAATTTTGAACTTACAAGAAGTATATCAAATATAGACAATAACTTGCTACAATTTATTCTTGTGCAAATCAAACAAGAAGTAACACATAATCTTGATGCTACGGATGAATATATATATATATATATATATATATATATATATATATATATATAGTAGTCAGTACCTTGATGTAATTATGTCCATGGTGATTGGAGCTACATTTACTACAAAAGGACCCAAGACAATCAATGCAGAATCGATCGAATTTATTATTGTCCTTGGCGTTGGAATGAATGGTGCACTCTTCATATGCAATGTTGATCATAATAAAAACCCATGGTGGCACTTCACTTCTCTTCTGCAAATCAAAATTATAACTTTAAAACACACATCAAAATCCAACCTTAAAAAAGACAAAAAGAACTCATGTATGTATTGTACTAGCGACGGTGGTCGGTGGCGGGCAATGGTGCTGCTGCTGGTGGAAGGGTCTCCCATGGCGAATAGAAGGCAAATAAGAGTGGTTTTTATGAGTCTATATATATATAGTTGTGGGGTTAAATTGTTTAACCTAAAATAAATTTCGTGGGTGTTTTTAGGTGATGGCGGGTTTTATTTTTATTTTCTTTCTTTTTTCCCGGGTAATTTATTTCGGAAACGCTTAGAGATATAAGAAATCCAAGCGATTTTTTAGTTAATGATATTGATCCTACTTTTTTTTTTAATTTGAATTTAAATTGAAAAAGAAAATTGGTTTCAATTACAATCATGGATATATTCACCTTTTAATTATTGTAGTATTTAAATTATTTGATTTAACTGATTTGTTATCTTTTAATTATTTTTAGTATCTAAAATAAAAATATTTGATGTAATTATATCCTTATATGAATCGAACGAACGTGTGGAGGTGGACAGCACTTTTGATTTTGAGATTAAAATTTTATGATTTGGAGCACAAATCAGGTTGATTCTTTGGTAAGGATGTTTTTTTTAGAAGAGATAGAGATCATAAATACTATATATGTCAATATATTTGATTATAAGTATTATACATACGGTTTTAGCATCCCTTCCTAAATTAATAGTGAATGAAAAAGGAAATAAAAAAATTAAACTAATATATTATGTAACATGATGTAATTATGTAAAAACATTTTGTATTTCGTTGTTTGTGAAAAAGAAGATTAAGAGGTCATTTACTAAATGTTTACTCGGTAAGTATTTACCTAGTCATTTACATTATCAAATGAATATGAAAATGTCCGATAATCTTACCCGGTAAAAAACTATGATAAGGATGAAGAGTTTTACCGATAAATGAGTGTGACGACACTTACCTGGTAAGTGTTTATCGGATAAACTGTTGCATATGAATATATAATACCGTTTTGATGGACTATAATTTTACGATGTAAAGTAATTAAGTTAGAGTGTTGTCTTTTACCGATAAGTGTTTACTGAGTAAATCGTTTTCAAGTCGATCGTCAAAAAGATATATGCATTATTTAAATAAGATACGAAATAGATATACATATGATCTTTTAAAAAAATATAGCAATATTTCGTTTTCTACATTGCTCAAGAAATAAAACAGGAAAATGGAAGTGTTAAAAGTTTTATATTTGCTAGATTTGAACAATATATTTTAAAATCCCTTTCTTTTTCCTTTTCTTTTTCTTTTTTTAAATACGATTTGCTTACGGAATTTTACATATCTATATTATATTATAAAACATTTGACAAAAACTTTTAAAAACTATTTTTTATGCATGAAGTACTATATATTAATGCATATTATTTAAATCTTCATATTTGAATTCGCGTAATTAACTGTGGATAAACATAACCAATTAGAGGATAAACATCTCATTTTAAAATATAAAAAATCTAAAATATAATTAGGATAATTATCGAGTTCTAACAAAATAATTAATTATTATCTTTATAAGAAAATTATATTATTAAACCAAATATAAATTACTTCGTTATTAAACTTAAATTAAATTATAATAAAAAATTGAATTAGAAAATTAAACAAAAAATCTGAAATTTTAAATAGTTAATTTGATATTAATATCGATATATACTTTTGTCAAATTTTTATAATATCTTCAAATTTATATTTTATTTAAAAATTAAAACATTATCGGTTTTTCAAAATCACATAAGATCATACTATAACATCAATTGAGATAAATAATAATATGAAATATTAGATTGAAGATATATCTCGTTGTATTACGCGAGTACCCTTTTAGTTCTCATAAAAAGTATAAAGATTTTAGTTAGAATTCAAGTAATCAATTACATGTTTTAAGCTTAATCAAAAATCTCTTAAATTTACAAGAGTTCTCTTTTGTAACCACCTGATCTCATTCCTCGTCGTGTACTTCCCCATGCACTTCTTTTACCATTTCTTCTTCAAATATCGCTTTCGAGTGTCTAGCCAAAGAAGTCGTTAGTGACCATGAAGGTGACCACATGCGGGTTTCAAGGACCAGAGGGGTTGTTTAAAGTGACGGTTTCATGAGGTTTTATAGAGGTGATGAATGGGAAGATGAGTTTTGTCAAACTAGAGGGGAATTTGTTAGAGAAGTTGTCGAGAAACGGGAGCGAGATAATGGAGTAGATGTATGGGAGAGTGGGGCGGAGATGTATGGGTGGTTGTAGTGGCAAGTTCGGAACCTTGGTGATCAGGGGTACACATTGCACATTAGAGGCAAGGTTGTAGTCACGACTTGTCAGAATGATGAAAGTTTTTATTTTGTCAGAGTCGAAGTGACGAGGGTCATCCCACGGCCTCACTTCTTAGTGGAACCCCCATGGATGGTTGGCAAGAATGGTGAAGAGAGTGACAATTGGTGTGGCAAGGGAGAAATTTGAACTTATTAGGTTGCGGTTGGTGCTTAACAAATATTACGTGTATAGTACAAGTTATACACTATATTGGTGCAAGTGTCTGGACATTATTTTATGTTATTCTCTAACTCTTGAAAATCTCGATTGTTTGATGATTGGTATATAATAATCTGACTTCTTAGTATTTTTTGGATATTATTGTTTTTGTAAGAATAAATGAACATACTTCAAGCATTCAAAATGTCCAATCTTCAAATCTCTGAACTGATTTTAAGAAGCGCGTTGTACGCTCACGGGGATATTAATTGGTAAACAATTTTTTCGTACAAAAATCAATATTTGATTGTTATAAGTAGAATATCCAAGTTGGTATTTAGAGTTTGATTTATTATCTCTTAACTTTACATAATGCATTCTCACTAATTTTAAATGTTTGAGAAATAATTTTCTTCTAAACCATATTGTATTAGAAATTAAAAATTCAATAAATTTAAAATTCAGAATTAAAATTTAATGCAATTTTATGATTTCCACAAATAGCAATATATCATAGAATTTTTATATGGAAATTTTAGTATATTAACATTAACTCATCAACATCAATACTTAATTTTTACAGTCTTAATATATGATTTGATATGATTCTGATATAAAAGGGGTATCCAGTGTTTTATTTTCAATGTTAAGACTTGTTTTCAGAAATTAAGGCTTAAATATGAAGATAAAAACAACAGTTTTTGATGTAGGACGAATAGACGTAAAAGTTGAAAATAATGTAATTTGGTGAAAAGAATTATGCCTTGGGCTCCATTCAATTCCTGAAATATGACTAGGTTTACTCAATTAAACTCTAAACCCTCGAGATTAGGCCTTGATCTTCAGAAAGATTGGGTTCTATCGATAACCCGAGTACTACTGCATAAATGAGCTTTTGATGATACATGCATAGGGTTCGGTTTTGGTGAGAAAGTAAATTATAGTGAGAAGGATAAGAACAGATTTCCACTATTGGATTAATCCTAATTGAAGATCAAAGACTAATGCTATGCACCGAATCAATTCCTATGATAATCACAATTCATGGGATGGGGATAAAATTTAAAAGTGATCAATGATTTAGATCTATTATTACGTATCTCACGTTAACTAATATTCCCACACGATTCCTTCGTCTACATATGTACATACATGCATATGCATATATTTGAAGCAGTGAAGATAGTAGAATGACTGAGGTACCCTCAAGGGTTCAACTTAATACCTCATAATAGAAATCTAAGCATGTAATTTGGGGGGTTTAAATAGTTTCCCTTCCTTATTTTTTTCCCCTCTTTTTATTTAATTAATTTCTAACTTTTGTTATTTATTATTTCCGCTTTATTAATTAGTCATATCGTGTTTATTTTTAAAACACATTTAAGTATGCATTACCGTCTATTACATAGAAAAAATAAATCAATATTAATATTTGTTGATCCAAACTCTCTTAATGATTTGATGATGACCTTCCATACTTAGTGAAATATGTTTGTTCTATTTATGTTCAATTTCAACGATTATTTCTGAGTCTGTTCAAGTTATCGTTGAACATGTATTGTGGAGTTCTCAAAGAACAAGTATTTCTTAAAGACAAAACTCACAACAAAGGGACCTTCAGCAATGTCGAAGAAGTAGCTGAAGATAGAGACAACTTTCGTGATCTGAAGTGGATTCAGTGAGCACCTCCTTCTCATTCTAACTCTTTTCTCTCTTGTTCTTATCTTTTTTGTAATCTGTGTGTCTTTAAAATTGTTTATGTTAGGTCTTAACTTTACCTTCTTCTGCAACAATCTGTAAATTCCATATTGATCTTTTATCAATAAACAAATTTTAAAAGTGAAAATCGTGTGTATGTATTCACCCCCCCCCCTCTTTTGCAAACTGTTATCTTTAAAACTCTTATAGATCTGTTTCAGACCAACAATACCGTTGTATAAAAACCCATAAATATATAAATCAAGGTTTTTTATAATATAATTTTTTGGATTGTAATATTAAATATTTATCTTTTTTTGGGTTTTTATCTACATGTCTTTCAAAATTCATAATAATCTACTTACCGCAACTTAAATTCTCTCTCAAAGTCTCAGAAAACTTACGATAACCAATATTAATCACATATCTTACATTAACAGATTATTTGAATACTTTCCATCGACGTAATGAGTTAATATCATTTGATATCATGCAATGTTTTTAAAAACTTGTTGTAACAGCCGTCGTGACTCAGGACTTGTGTCTTCACACCACATTATACCTAGGGCACACCATGACCTAACGCCCAATTTTCTGTAATGTATTATTAGATTTTTCTTACTTTTTTAATAATGTTTTATTTGTTAGTTTTCAATATATAACCTAATTTAAATTGTTTAGTATATATCATTGATTTATTGACTAATAGTAGAAAGTATATGTTTATATCTATACAATATTGTATATAGGCAGCCATAGGTTCATTTGAGAAGTGACGAGTATTTGAGAAGCAGAGCACTTCATCTAGTTAAGATTTGTGGCTTTGACTGTGAAGCACCGATAATTCCTCCCATGATATGCGAAAGATAGAGTTCGTAACTTTTACAAATAGGTGGCAAAACAAGTACATATGTGAACCTGTGTGATTTACATATGAACTATATGTTCATACGTGAACCCGTGTAATTCACATATGAACTATTTACCTGATTTACATATGAACTATTTACCTGATTCATATATGAACTAATTAATTGATTCATATATGAACATGTGTGATTCACATATGAATTAATAAACTGATTCACATATGCACTTATTTGCTGCCTATTTGTAAAAGTTATGAAACTACCCCTCTATTTTTTGTTTGACCAATTAAAGCCGTAATTCTTAACTAATCTTGACCATATGAAGGGTTAGTATCACTTGTTTACTTCGTAAATACTTGCCACTTCTCCAATGAACCTCTTCCTATTTATATATATTATATATATATATATATATATATATATATATATAACATTATATATATAATGGGTTCCCGTGAAAAGAAGAATTAAAATGAGAAACATAAGAAGAGATCTTCATCCTTGAATGCACACCGGTTTGTGCTTTTGGTGACCCTCCTTAGAGAACACCGGTTTGAGTCCTACAAGACCACTGAGAATTTTTATGACTGTTCTCCAGGGCCCATAGGATTAGTTGAGGTGCGCATAAACTGACCCCGACACACATGGTTAACAAAAATTAATAATATTATACATGATATAGAAGTTTACCGTCATAAGCACGCTTTGAAAAACGCCATGTCTACTAACACTTAAAGTTTAGCCTCGCCACCACGTCGTCGCTCCACCATGTATCACACCATTCAAAATCTTGATATCATTTATTACCCCCTAAATTAGAATCCCCATCTTTGGCCTTTGAATTTATGTTAAACGGGTATTCTCAATCTATGTCTGAACTAATCTCGATAAACTATGACTACAGAAAACCAGTTTTATTATGTACACCTGAAATAGAACCCTTAACAAAGGGATATTGTAGCAATCACCCTTGTGGTACGACTTTCTATATTTTTGGTTTGGGTGAGAAGGAATCTGTCCAAAGCCAAAGGGCAGATTTACAAAGCAGAAGTGCCAAAGGAACGTCATCGTTTTACTTGCTAATCCACTCATCAACTTTTGGTGGCATTCAAATTGTCTTTTATGTAAAAAAGAATCATGGATTTTTAAAAAATTTCCTTCATAGTTTTCAATTAAAATAATTTATATATTTAATATTTAAATATTCAGATAATTTTATCTGCAGCATTTTCATCATACTGGTCCTACAATCTTCATAACACTGTTAATTTAAACTGCGTTGGAAAATGAATTATCAGAGTTGTTAATGGTTTCTACTTAGACATTGGCGTGAGAGAGTATCAATCAAACTCGGCTTTATGGGTTTTCATATTCTGACTTTGAGAGAGGAATTCCGTTACGTGTTTATATCTGTATTATATGATATAAACTTTGCTTTTGATAAATAATTATAAAAAAAACCCTTGAAATTAAAATAATACAAAAAATGTTCCAATTGAAGAAAGACTTGAGAGTGGCAGGTCAACGTTCATATCCATTCATGGAGCAGGAGCTCCTGAGATGAGGTCAATATGCAACAACTTCATTGTTTTGTTTTGTGTTTATAATTATTTCCAAATTAATATATAGGATTTAAAATTTTATATGATACATTTTTTTACGTATTTTTCATAGATTATTAATTATCAAATGATTCAATAAGCTATGTTCATAAAAAGTCAATCAATCAATCACGTTTTTATTATAATGATTAATGTAATAATGGTTTATTATACATGATACTAATTATAAGACAGACAAAACGATATCGTCATGCTTATACCTTGTTACCTTTTAAATATGTTGTGAGATAATAGACGTAAGGACTTGAAAAGACAGGTTTATATATATATGTCTTTATATGTATATGAAATACCATCAAACCTAGCTAAACTCGATGACGCAGTATCACTTTGCAGGTTTAAATCTGAACCATGCATTCAATTTATAGGTTTGATATGATCTACAACGATCTAATGTTGATTTAATCGTTTCATACTTAGGTACTCAACTCCATTAGCTTGTACTACATATGATCAGATGTCATATTTTATATGTTCGTGCGAAACACTATCTTCATAGACATATATCAACGTTATTATCAAAACTTCAAAAGTTGTTTCAAATTCACTTTTACAGCTATCGTCTTGCTAGCAGTAATATTGGTGATGAAAGATACAGCTCTGTAGGTCTATACATCTTGTATATAATTGTATTTTAACTGATTAATTTAAACAACAGTATCGTAAAATCAAAATTCATTGATTTTGTGACTCATTTCAATTTTGCCCAAATCTTCATTTGATGACAATTTTGTGTTACTTTTAATATTTACTTCAAAGTGAAATTCAAAAACTAAAAAAAAAACTAACAACATATATTATTTTTCTAAATAATAATAAAAAAAAACTAATTAATTATTCAATAAATCTGGTTTAATGAAGGTGGTTGTTGAGGTGAGCCTCTCAACGAAGACATCCAAAGCTTCCTTCATCCACCAACTCTGGCAAACCTCTCTTGCTTCTTCTACTTTCATCTGCATTTACATTCATTTCCTTTCATTAGCTTCTAATTTTCTGTCAGTTTTTCAATTAATTCATGGTTTTTCTGATCAATAAGTAGATAACTGGTATTTGACAGTTGTCATATGAGTTAGATTAAACTGTGTCTTGATATTAAACGTGGAAACGTCTGATAACTGTTTTAAAGGATAATTAGATGATTTCATATATTATCAGGTATGTGATATTATATAAAAAGTATTGTATAATAGCCAACCGTTATTATTAAATCGTGTTCTCATAAATGGTATTTTTAATTATTAACCCATTTTATTTTTATAAAAATGAAAAGAAAAAGACACAATAAATATGTTAAAAACAAGGGAATTTTAAAGAATAAATGAGAATGAAATTACAAGTAGTAAAATTAAAATTGTTGACCTTGCAGCTAATTAAGAGTTTTCTATATTAATTTAAACGAATATAATATATAATATATACTTAAATTTTATTATCTATACTTATATTATAAAACATTTCACAAAAACTCTTAAAAACACATGAAAATGCTTCATGCATACCCAAACTCGTTGGCGGAGGTTTTTCTCGGGCCAAAGTTCAAGTTGTTCAGCAACAAGCATCGGAAACATGTATCCTTCGTGGTATATCGCTTGTCTTTTGCTCTTAAAGCTCCATTTTCCTAATTCACACTGCAAAATACATCATAAATTACATTACTTTATGCATATATATATATATATATGTGTGTGTGCGCGCGCGTACGCATGTGTATTAATTGATTTGTTCAAACCTCGACTAGTCCAACGACACCGGCTTCTTCAAAGCACTCCCGTGATGCGGCTTCTTCAACAGATTCATCGAGCTCCCAACCTCCCTGAAATCGTCGTGTTTGAAAATGCCGAATTCTATTAGTTAACCAAGGAATGAAAAATGAAAGTATATACATATATATATATATATATATATAAACTTTGGAATAGTCTTTATAATATTTATTCAAATCAAGTGGCTTCTCTCTCATGTTTTTATTTTTTTTCTCAAACTATTATTTATTTATGTATATAAAATAAATAAAAAAAAGCAGTAAATTATACCTTAGGAAACATCATAGCATGGCCCTTCTGCGAGCTGATAACAAGGACTTCAAGCTCACCGTTTCCATTTTTAAACCTATACGGAATGCACCTGCGAGCGATCATATTTTCAAGAATTAATTTGAAGCTAATTAATGATTTTAAGTTCAATAACAAGCTTCTGCGTCACATTATTAGAAACTCGTGTTTTAATTAACACACGAGAAATTAATACGCGTGACACGGATATGGAAAACGTAAAATACCCGACAACTAGTCGACGGCCCATGTCGTAACGTTGCAAATCCCGTCCAGTTCTAGAAACCAAACACATCATCTTCGGGTTTTTTACTTTCGATGTGATGCTGACTTGATTTGTGTTCTTAACAAGAAACAGAAAAAAGGAAAATGGATGGATTTTCTCTTGAATTTAATTGGTAGAAAATTGTATGGATAAGAGAGAGAGAGAGAGAGAGAGAGAGAGAGAGAGTTATGAAGGAGGTATGGGAGTGTTTAGGGGGTTTATATAGAGGGGCAATGGTGGTGTAAAAGTCGAATAACTGGAGGTGGTGGGCGGAGGTCGCCATCAAGGAACACCCCACCGGCCACCGTGTGGGTTGCGTAGTTATTATTGGAATACCTTTACATACACAATATATATACACATATATATATATATATATATATAAAGAGAGAGATTCAAGTTACAGTGTTACACAAGTAATATACTCTTAAATGCCTTGCCAACATAATTTCGTTTTTTATGTAAATACTGTTAGTAGTTCAATTAAGATTTAACATCTTAATTGTTAAGAGGTGAATCTTGTTTGACAAAAAAAAATGTCGTCTTTTAATGGTTGTAAAACCCTCTGAATGATTTTGTATCATGAGTCTCCTTTAACCATTCAAAATTCTAATTTCATTGTAAACAATTACCAAACAATTATATTTCATTTTGCATTATATCGTGAGAGTCTTTTAATCATTCTGATCACTTAATCATTCAGCACAAAACCATTTAGCAACCGCCAAACACCCCTTAGTTTAATTAAATTCTAAAAAGTGTTTGGACATGTTGTAAATTTGAAATTGTGATAATCAATTTTGTATTATCTGAAAAATCCCGATTCTTTATTTTGAATTTTTATAGATAAAATTATTAGATTTATAAAAAGATAAAATCATTTACTTGTCCCTAGCCTTAATCAATTTGATATAATTAATTATTTGATATTGATTAATGAATATCGAAATAATCACTAAGAAAACACACACATACATACACACACATATATATATATACACACACACACATATATATATATACACATATATATATATATCACCTGAAAGGAGGTTGAAATGAGAACACAAAAACAACCAATCACATATAAAATTATATGTGTTTTTACATTAACGGTCAACGTAAAGATGTACAGATGACGTGACCCTTGATCTCAGGTCGTGTCAAAATCACGTGAATCATATATGATTCGATCTTTTATTATTATTTTATTTGATTATTGTTATCGTATGAATCTAAGTTTACACCGTCTATTCTATTATAATTAACATAGGATTGTGATTAATTTTCGGTTACAAGATAGGACAAATCTACATGGAAAATTGGGTATGAATGTGTATACTCGATCAAATGTATTTATATGAGTTGTGTATGCACGTGATATGTTGAGATATAAAAATTTTATCGTAAGTCAAGAATGAAAACTTAATGTAATTTTTTAATTTAAAATTTTAAAATTTATAGTTGAACAAAATAAAAATTATAATAAATTAAAGGGTATTTGGTTAAGTGTATTAGATGAGAATGATAATGAAAAAGCTATTTGTTTTTATTATATAAATTAACGGGTATTTGTTAAGAGATGAATCTTGTTTGTCAAAAAAAAAATCTGTCTCTTAATGGTTCTAAAACCTTCAGAATGATTTTGTATCATGAGCTTCCCTTAACCATTCAACACCCTAATTTCATTGTAAACAATTATATTTCATTTTGCACTATATCATACAAGCCTCTTTTCAAACTTTCACTAAACCTCAAGGAACAAATTTAGAGTTTATTCTATTATATAATATTAGAAATTAGGATAAAACTCATGGCCGGAGACCGGAGAGAAGACCGAAGAGAAGGTTTCAAAGGAGACTGGAGAGAAGACCGAAGAGAAGGCAACCGTGAAGACCGGAGAGAAGCCCGAGGAGAAGATCGTAGAGGTTTCCAGAGAGYTGAAACGAAAATCGAAGAAGATGATGGCTGGCAAAAGGTGGAGCGCAGAAGGAGATCTCGAACATCTTTGTTCAACTTCTTCTTCTCTGGGTTTCCAGATTCCTGGGGAGAAGAAGCTTTGGAAAGAATGTTCTCACGTTTTGGAAAGGTTTCGTCGCTATACCTTGCAAAGAAAAGAACCAGAAGAGGCTCAAAATTTGGCTTTGTGAAGTTCAAGTTCGAAGGAGATGGGAGGTCGTTGGAGAAACAACTACAATCGATTATCATTGGCTCGAAAAAGTTGGTTATTAATCTGGAGAAATTTTGTAAGGCTGTCAAAAGGACCTCTAATGAAGGTCACACCTTCTTAAGACCTTCTAGGAGTGTTCCCATCAAAGAACCTACTAAAAGAAGACCCGTTACTTTTCTCTCAGAGTCAAGATTCGTGGACAGGAGAACCTTTAAACAGGCGGTTACAGGGGACGGAGAGGCAAAGGACGAAGAGTGTGGCATCATCGAAGTTCCGATCAATGTTGAACACCTGAGAAGGCTTAAAAATAGCTGGGTGGGAAGAGTCAAGGGTATTGATCAGTTGAGGAACATTAATGCCATTTTGAAAGAAGATGGTATGGGTGAATGTAAAATCCAATATTTAGGAGGTCTTTTCATTCTCTGCGAATGGAWTTCGAGAGATTTGGCAAAGAAAGTTTTGATTAAAAATAAGGAGGTTTTAAAAGTTTGGTTTCAAATGGTGAAGTTATGGGAGGAGAATTTCTCTTTACAGGAGAGATTGACTTGGCTTGATATCCAAGGTTTACCGGTTGAAGCCTGGAATGAATCTTCAATCCGTAACATCGCGGGGTCTTTCGGCGAAGTGCTTGAGGTGGACGAACCCTCTTTTGAGGGCTCTACGGTTTGTTCTTTTGGTGCYTTAATTGTAACAAGTTCAATGGCTGAGGTGAATACAGTCATAAAGGTCAAAGTCCAGAATAAGATTCATACTGTTAAAGTTCTTGAAGAACATAATAGATTGATCTTGTCAGCCAGAGAGAATGACATCAGGTTTGAATCTGATTCTGATGAAGAAGAGGATGACGATATCCTACGAGACGGAGTTTCAGATACCTTTTCCATTGGTTGTTGTTCGCCGGAAAACTCCCCTCGTCGGAATCCAATCGCCGGAGATGGGAGCTTTTCTGGAAATCCAAAAGTCCCTTCTCTTTCTCCAAGGTTGGAGGCTCACATTGTTCCCAAGGCGCCGACCTCGAGTTCTGATCCAAATAATGATTTCTCGTCCATTAATGCTGATAAGCAAGTGGGATCTCCTGCCCATAAAGGTTTTCCTAATCCTTGCCAGGCCAATTCTGGCCCACTTCCTCAAGGTAATACTTTTAAAGCCCAATCTTCAAAGGCCCACCATCCTAAGTTTAATTTAGGCCCTTCTGGCTTTGAGTTCTGTAACTCAATTAATTCTGCTGGATCTAACAAGGACTCCTCAGACTCCAATTTTTCGATTTTGGCTTCAAAGGAAGCGATTGGAAGGGCTATTGGAGTTATTTACGAAAATAAAAAAGGAGATGATCGAGGAGTTTAATTCTCTTTCGCTCTTCTTCAAGGATTTTTTCCTTTGTTCAAGATGCGTGTTTTATCCTTTAATTGCTGTGGGCTAAAAGCCAAAGGGAAATTGGAGAAAATCAAAGAATTCCTTTGGAAAGAAAAATGCTCAGTCATAGGGCTTCAAGAAWCGAAACTCTCAGAGGTTGATCGTCAGTGGGTCGCTAAACTCTGGGGTCACAAGAATTGGGATTTTGTCTCGCAAGACGCAATAGGGTTTTCTGGTGGAATTCTTCTCACGTGGGATACTGATTCCTTTTCTAAAGATTATGAACTTAAGAACACAAATTTTTGTGGAGCTGTTGGTACTTGGCACGATGTGAATAAGAAGGTTGGGCTTTTGAATGTTTATGGCCCTCAATCTTCTTCTCTTAAATCCATTCTATGGAATGATTTAAGCTCTATCTTCCTAAGCTCGCCTGAGGTTATTTGGGTTGTTTTTGGCGACTTCAATGTTGTCAGGTATAGAGAAGAAAGGAAGGGTTCCGTGTTTAATGTGAATGAGGCTAGGGAGTTTAACAACTTCATCCTTTCCWCGGGGTTACAAGAGATTCAACTTTGTGGGAGGAGGTTTACAAGATTTAGCAAAGACGGCTTGAAGATGAGCAAGCTTGACCGGATGTTGGTTACTCACAATTTCTTTTCATTTTGGAAAGACCCACTTATTCAGGTTTTACATCGGTCTATCTCGGATCACTGTCCTATTTTATTAAAAGTGGAGGAGATTAACTTTGGCCCCAAGCCTTTCAGAGTTTTCGATTCATGGATAAAGATTRATGGTTTTCAAAATGCAGTTCTTCTCTCGTGGTCCTCTCACTCTTTTTTTGGTTCAGCAGATTTTATTCTTAAAGAAAAGGTTAAAGCTCTAAGAAAGGATTTAAAAGTTTGGGCAAAACTAGAAAGGGACAGGAAACTTCTGAAAAAGTTCGATATTGCTAAAGCTCTTTTAGAGTGGGATGTGAAGGCCGAGCATAGTGTAATTTCAGAAGAGGACCGGGTTAAAAGAGATGGATTAATTTTCGATTCTTTTCAGTTGGAATATTTGGAGAGGTTGGACTTAAAACAAAAAGCTCGACTCAAGTGGGCGGTCGAAGGCGATGAAAATACTAATTTCTTTCATTCCCTTGTGAATCATAGATGGAGAAGGAACAAGATAAAGGGTCTCATCTGTGATGGTTTTTGGTCAACTGACCCTTCTGTCATTCAGAATACCATCTTCAATCATTTCGCGGAAAGGTTTCATGACCCCAACCCCGTTCGGCCTTCTTTCTTTTGCTCTTCTTTTAAAAGACTTTCGCCGGATGAAGCTTCAGATCTGGAACGTCCCTTCTCGGCCGATGAAATCAAGGAAGCGGTTTGGTCTTGCAATGGGTCAAAAGCACCGGGACCTGATGGACTTAATTTTAATTTTATTAAAACTTTTTGGCCTATTATTGGTAACTCTTTTATGAAGGCAGTCTGGCATTTTGAAAACACTGGTATCATAGGCAGAGGTTGTAATGCTTCTTTCATTGCCTTGATTCCTAAGAAAATCGATCCCATGGAAATCTCGGATTTTCGGCCAATCAGTTTGTTGGGGGGTTTTTATAAAATCATTGCTAAGCTTTTGGCGAACCGCTTGGTTAAAGTTATGGATAAATTGATTTCCGGAAACCAAACAGCTTTTATCCCCGGAAGGCAGATTCTTGATGGGTGTTTAGTGGCAAATGAGTTAGTCCATTTGGCGAAAAAACAAAAGAAAAGAATGTTCCTTTTTAAAGTGGACT